AAAAAGTATCAAGTGGCAAAGATTAAGTCACCACATGTAAACCAGGAAATTGAGATGAACACCAAGGCCCTAACAGACAATAAGGCCTTGCCAGAAGGCAGCTGCTGAGGCAGAGAGGAAGGACAGGAAGGGCAATGGAAATTAAAGCAGAGAAATAGGGTTTAATAAACTATACATGACAGCAGCCAAGGCCAGGCTTACTGCTGGCTTTGCCGGCAGCTGTAAGGTCACAGGCAGCCTTGCTGGGACAGTGTAGTGGTAACACCACTTTCACCACAAGCTTCATGCTGAGTGCATGCCTCACTCTTGCCCAGAGATCAGTGGCCAGGACAACTGCAGCCTATGCTGGCGTTTGGAGGTGTTTGTGCTACTTTCAGCAGTCATGCTGCACAAAGCCCCACGATAAGCAAACTGTGGAGCACCGTGCTACATTTACTGCAAGATCAAGGGGCTGCTGTGCTTTGTCATCACACTTGTCAACCAGAATATCATTATCATTACCAGGCTAACTCCAATCAGCCTCTGCTGAAGAGCCAGTTGATCATCCAATAACATTAAAAATCTTTTTTGTTAGCGCATGCCAGCATCTGGCTTGTGTGTACACCTGTGTGTCATCTGAAGAGTAGTCTCAGGGAGGAGACTCCTAGTGTGCCGCTATGCTCCACTCCACTGGCGTCCCTGGCATGCTCAAGTGATTGGCATCAATTTGCCTTTCTGCATGATGCTGGCAGACAAGGCTGGATGGAAATGGACAACAGAGGTGCCTCTCGGACATTTTGGCCAAGCTGTTTTATTAGTGGAACAGAGCTGGGATGTTTACTCTTATCCTTGAAAATTTCAAGAAACTTTTTTTAATGCTTACTATGATATCATAGCAATTACAGATCCTGTTGGGGACATGCTCGCATCAATGTGACAACCAAAAAGCAAGGCCTGGCCTGGAGAATTTGCAACATGGCTAAGATTAGAGACAGCAGATAGGTATCAGTGGCCAAAAGATGGAGCAGCAGAAGAACAGGATGTCTAGGATCAGCATTGTAGCCTGGGTGGGAGGGAGTACTTTCGGTCGGTACTTTAGCTGAGGAAGAGGAGTGGATGGGGTGGCTTTGACAGGCTGCTCTCATTAGCAATAACAAAGTGCATACAGAGTGGAAGCCAAACCTTAGCAAAGACACCAGAAGGTCCCCAGGTGGTAACTCCCTTTCTTTTAAAGATGAAGCAGGATAGTATGACATGTTTGCCTTAGACATGGTCTGGAAGGTACAGCAAATGCACTGAACAGTAATGGCAAACTTGCTGCTATACTTGTGCCTGGAGGCAAGTGTGTAAAATGTTTTCTGCCTTCCAAAGCACCGATAACTGCAGCTGTTGTGGGCTTCAATGGAAGATACAGCTCATCAGCAATCATTTAACACAGCATTTGTATTAGAATTGCCCAAGGTGGGGTTCAGATAGGAGGCTTAGGATACCTGTCATTGCAGCATGGGTTTCTAGTGGAGGTAAAGCATGGAGAAGGACAGAATACCCCAAGGGAGATGACAGAGAAAGAGGAGCAATAGGAAGGGCTGCAGTATCAGATGAGAGGTCTGACAACAGAAACAGCATAATAGGTAAGATCTGCAGTAACTGCAACAACACAAGCTGGTTGAGCAGATGGTCACCTCAGTTTAGCCTTTAACATAGCTTGTTGTCCCTAGCAATATTTACCCAAAAGTACTCTACTGATGGAGATGGGATTATGTAACAGACAGAGGGAAATCAGTCCTATTTTATACAAGGCTGCCTATCGGCTCTGACAGTCCCTTCATGTACTGGCTTTAACTTGGGCAGAAAGAACAATGTGATCATTTCTGGGACTGCTTTAGATGGTGGAAACCAGGTAGCATTTTCCCCATTTCCCAACTTTCTTGGAACTTTATTAACTCACTCCTCAAATCTGGAAACTTGGTTGACAGGTAAAGCGTTAAACTCCCTGTCCCAGGACTGAAATGACCATCTGGGAACTGTCAGGACATTTTCATCAGCTCCATCAGTGCTGTGTCAGAATATTTTCATCAGCTCCTGGTCAGTGCTGTTTGGGGTTAATTCTGACCTACTTCACTAATTCTTCAGAAGTAAGAATTATTTCACTAGTTTGTGAAAAGCACTTAAAAGATCCTTCGGTGAAAAGTGAAAAATGGAGGCAAATACTGTTATTCTCATTCCCAAAATACTAGATACAGAACCACACTGAAACAGCAATATAGATGTTGCAAAGGGGATTAACCACAATGGAAAGTGAAATTCTGCACTGAAAAGTGTCCCATATTTGAAAGGCCAGAGATTACAAGCATATGCATATCTCAGCTCAGATATTTAATAAATATTGTCTCAACTGCATGTTTACGTATTTTTATTAAAGAGCAAATTGCTTGTATTTCCTCCTCTTTCTTCTGCACTATAGCATTAAAGCAGGACAGCATGCCACACAACAGTATAAACAAACAGCATCACCAGATACTTAAGGGTCTTTAGCTCCTGAATTGACTAAAGCATAAATACAAACTGACGTCAAGCATTTGGGATTACCATTTAAAAATTGGTATTTTCTGAGACACTAATGAAGGACATTCATGTCAGAAAATCCTGTGGCTACAAAAGGAGGAGTGAGCCACCCAGACTTCAGAGTAAGGAATCAAGGAGATAGTCTGCATCTCTTAAAATAAAAAACATGCCAGTTTGCTTTAGACCTGTGAGAAGTGCCAAATAGAATAGGGAAGAGCTTCTTCCAGCCTGTCCAGATCTTGAAGATTTGGGAATGCAGACATCACCATGAGTCCTTGCTCTGCCACCATTATCAGCAGCATTTTTATCACCCCCTCTACTCATCACAGTCCTTGTATGGTGGAAGCCCATCCTGGCTGTGCACTGGAGCTGTACAGCACACCCCGTGCAATGCAGTGTGCAGCTGTGTGATGCTAGTGACATGCTCCAGAGCTCCAACAATTCACTTTCCACAGCTGGTCTCCAGGGTCTCAATTAAGTAGCTGAAACTTTAAACAAGTAAGATCACAAGCAGTGATGAAACTTATATAGGATCTCAGTCTTTCTCCCTCTTAAGCATGGAATTAAGAGTACATTCTATAAGGCAAAATGCATTCCTGAGTAGGCATTTGTACTAATTCAGGTGCTGAAGTGGTATAGGCAAATGGCAGCACACCCTGAGGACCAAGGTATTCTGCTTTTCAGCATGATTAACCAAGCAGGATGGAGCACAGCGCTGTATGGCTTTTAGTACCTATACTGGCTTAATGAGCATTAGCTTTGCATATCCCTACGTGATGTATTTTGACACAAAATTGTAAGTTGGGAAGTGCCCAAAGAGAAAGAAGACTAGAGATTTAAAGCATTCCTTCTACTTCAGACTAAGTTCAAGCAATCATACACTTTGGGGCAAGCAGACAACACTTGAGTTGCTGCAGGTAGTGAAGATCTCAGTGGGAAAGCACAACTGTGTATTTGAAGAAGTGGTGCCCTTGGACACAAAATAACCAGTGCATCCCTAGCCCCTCCCTAGGACTTCTATCAAAACAGCACTTTTTCCTTTGGCATCTGTGCTAGCTGCCCAGGGCCAAAAGCAGAGCAGGTACTGGAGGCACCATCTGCTTCTGTAACTTCACTCTTGTTCACAAAGCAGCGAAATAAGTAGCCAAACCCTTGATGGAGCAAATCTTTGCCATCTTAGAAGTAAGCCATTCCACATGGTACAGATTCACTGTCAGACCTGTGGGAGACTTGCTAGTGATGAGCCAGAAGACCAGCGCCTTGCAGCTCTTAAAATCAGTGTTCCCCTGCCCAAGTGGAAATAGACCTGTGTTAGCTTAAAACCTTGAGTGGTGCCAAGGCCCCCCAGTAGCAGCAGAGCTTGCTCTGTTCCCTAGGGCAGAAGGTGAAAGGAAGAGAAAGTCCCTTCCCGAGTGGCTGGCTCAGGACACTGCAAGGGGCATAAGGGAAGACAGATTCAAGTGAAGGCCATTTGCCAAAGAAGGACAACACTCATCCATTCTCACCTGCTGTGTGATCCGACCTGGTCATTAGGTGCCAAAGCAGCTGGGTGAGGTGATGCATATTACTAAGAGCTTCTGGTTTAGCAAGGAGCTGGACCAGAAGATAAATTTCCTTCTACAACAGGGGATGGACCACAGAGGGATTTGGTAGCTGCTGATGTGCTGGAAGGAAGGGGAAGAGAGTAGTGCCCCCTTCAGGTGGTTCAGCTGCAGTTTGCAGGCAGAAGGACTGGAGGAAAAGAACTCAGGTCTGCAAGCCTCCCCCTTGAATACAGGGCATATTGCATGTATTCAGGGCCTAGGATAAACTAAAATAGAAAAACATTTGGTTTCAGTTCACCTCTTAGTGGTGGCTCATGTTTTATTTACAGAAAGGGCAGAAGTTTCTGTAAGCAAAGAAATCCCCTTTCTTTCTGTGCAGGTTTTAGAAAACCAGTCAGCAGCAGAGCAATGCTACTGAACACAAGACTTCAGTCACCTGCCTCCTAATTTTCAAAACAGCTAAAGCCCTGCAGTCTTTTTTACCTTTTATAGTCACAGGACTAGTCAAGCAAACCCTTGATTGGATTATTCTCCTTTAATTACAAAATGCACTCAGACCAAAGACGCAATAGTACCTGGTACATATGTACACATTTCCCTCAATTATAACACCAAAGACCAAAATGCCATCTGGTCCTGCTGTAAATCAAACATTTCCCTCTGGCAAGATATTTGGAGTATGAATAGACATCACAGTAATGCTTGAACTGCCTCTTCTGTGCAGGACACCAGACTCTGTATTTATTTATCATGTACTTTGAGATCCTTTAGGGTGGACCATACAAGAGATAAGCAAGAGAACAGATGTGAAACTGGAACCCTGGGGTAATTGGAGTCCATATCCCACCACCCCCTGGAAAAGAAAGGCAGAGATGGGTCACTCTCTCCTTGCTGCAGTTAGGACAAGGTAGATAAATCACAAGGTTTTTTTATTGCTGGTGAACTCAAAACAGGCAACTTTAATCTACTGAGGAAGATACACATACAACAAATGTTAGGCCTTGTGCGTTTTTTTTCTTCTTAATGTAAATGTCTCTTCAACTTCAGTCCAGCTCTGAAGCTCTCACTGAGCTGCCGCCAAAATCCTGGTAATGTGCTCTGGGCACTTCTGCAAGGTGTTGTAAGAAGCATCACATGTATTAAAAAGGGAAATTTTGCAGAAAAGACGAAGCTCTGACTGCAGCCATGTTGCTCAGAACGGAGAAGTCTGGCTAATCCTGCTGCATTAGGTATGTGGTGTTATACATAATTAATTGTTTAAGAATTTGACGGGTCCTTTTCTGTTTCTGGTGTGCAAGCTGCAAGTAAAGTGCACTTCTGGGTATAAATTACCACTCTATAAAGATGCAATAGCTGGGTGGTACACATCAGACATCAGTGGAAAGCAGACAAAACAGTTGTTACAATGACACAGGCAATAAGGATAATGCTCTAGATACTAGATGCTGCTGGGAAACCCCTCCATATTTTGAGCATCTAAATATTACCCCACTGAGCAAAACCAGTGGCATTTAGTTGGGACCTTCTAAAGTACAGACAATAACAGACACATAGCTGTTACTGTGTACCAGGTTAGCTCTGTGGACAGCCACTCCTCCAAACCACACTGCTAACTCCTTTTAACTTTTCTAAAGTTTTCTAACAGCTAAGGAGAAAGCAGGGATCCTAAGGATGTTTCTATGAGGCTGAGGGTTTTACATGATGTGGGGGTGATGTAGGAGGCAGCACAACACCACACTTAAGCTATGCTATGAGAGGACAACCCAGCTTTAGACACTGTGTTTGATAACCTTGACAGAACCAGGGCCAAAATGGTGAGATCCCACTCTCATCTGCACCTTGCAATTCTTGTTCTGCTCCAGTACAGCTCATCTACATTATCCCATGCACAAATCTCTTTTTTTAACTCCATGTACAGTGTCAGGTGACTATTTTGCCTGGGTCTGTATGCCTGAGACCAACAAGGCTGACAAACTACATACTATTCTTGTTTCATAATACTGGTATCACAGCATCAGAAGAACTATCTGTTCAGTGTTTGTTCTCTTTTAATTTAATGAACTATAAAAAGGAGACTCTAAATATCCACCTAAGTATTCTCAGTGCTTCAGGAGATATTGCATACCCAGGGCAGATTTGATTAACTCCTTGCACCACTGCTTTCCTGTGTCCATTGCCAGCAATGGATGCCACATGAGAAAGGGGAGGGGAGGAATAAAATAATTGCTCTGTGTGTGATACAAAACAGGATTAACACTGCCTTCATAAGAGCAGAACCAAGAAACAATTCAACTCACAGGGCCAACAGTGCTTTTCCTCTCAGGAATGGCTGCCACAGGGCAAGAAGCAGGTTCACAGCTGAGCACCCCCTACCAGAGACAAGGGACCTACACAGAAATAGCCCAACTACTTCCAAAACAAGAGTGGAATCCCACAACACATTTGCATTTCAAGCCAAATTGATCCCTGGTACAGCTCTGCTGACTATGGTGGAAGAACACAAAAAATTAATCTGGCCTTACAGGGCAACTACAGAAACCTTCCCCATAACACAGCTCAGGAGTGAGACATCTGACAGCTGGAAGCTCTGTGTTTGTTGCCAACTTCAAAAGCCAAGACTTGCCTGAGTAAACTGTGAACTTTTGGCTGCCACTATCAAAAACCTTCCCTGTACCACAATTGTCCTTGTACTCCACAGGTGTTCCCAATAGATTAAATTTCAAACTGTCCCCAGTGCAGGTAGTTCCACAGTGAAGCCACAGCACTCCCTTCTGTTCCACCTCTCTACTGCTGCTCTTTTACCCTAACTCAAAGTCTCATTCAAGCAGACCATGAAGAATTAAGTGCTCTTCAGAGAAGGGTTTTTTGCTTTCTTTTTTTTTTTAATAAATGTATCAGGCAGCATGGTATATCTCTTGCTGCCTCCAATTATTGTCATGACAATATGGTTGTGGTTTTTTAAAGCAGAATTTGGGAAGAAAAAGCAAATCCACGTGATACACTGAGGAGAAAACTGGGCAGAACTGAGCCAAGGCCTGCCAGTGCTGAAGGGACATGAGAGTCAGTGCTAGAGGACCAAATCCCAGATACATTAGCCACAGGAAGGTTTTGACCTCCAAATACAATAGGCTGCAGCCAGAATAAGTCACCGACATTACCAGAAACAGAGAAATCCCTGGAAAGGAAGGCAGAAAACTCTTGTGGCCTGTATAGTCTCTACAAGGTTTGCATGGATGAGATGGGAGCTGGAATCTGAAGCAGACTGTTAGGCAAGGTCTACTTTGGGAGTACAGAGGAGATGGGAAGACTTGCACTATTTCTTGCGCCTTTTGCCAAGATTCAGATTGCACAGATTATGGTAAAATTCACTTGGCAAAAAAGACCTTCATTAAAAAAAAAAAAAAGAAAAAAAAGAAAAAAAGAAAAAATTTCTAGTAAGTATCAGGACTGAGATTTCAAAAAGTACAAGATCTGTATAAATTCAGCAAGATGTCCAGCACCAGATTATTTCATGGTGCAAAAAAGAACCTGGGGAGAGGCCAATGGGACCTGGCAAGGGTAACACCATCTACCTCCCCAGCAGACTGCCAGTCTTAGGTTCTTCACAACAGCAGATGGATTTTCCTTGTTCCTGCAGCATCTCAGGTCCCACAGGAGGTATTGGTTGCAAGCAAGCACCTGAATATTGCCTAATGGAGTAAGCCAATCACTAACTCAGCTGGCGTGTCCATGACCATCAAATAATTAGGTGTTTTTCTTTTTGGATGCATTTCCACCGTAGCATCTCTTTTTCTTCTTTCTCCACGTTAAAGTGTAAGCAAAAGGACTGCTTTCATCTGTAATAAGTTAAAATCAGAAATGACCTAACTAACAGGTAACTGATATTGGTCCTTGGAGCCCAAAGAGTAAAATCCATAGAAAATCTACTGGTTCCATTTTTTCTGGTATATCCCATGCACACCCCCATTAGAAAAATGGGGTTTATGAATCTTATCATACAGCAAGGAGCAGTACCTCGGAGCCAGAGCTGACAGTCCGTGCTAGCGGTCTGGGCTCTCCCAGACTGCTAAGTGTGATTCTAAGTCACTGCTCAATCTGTCTTCACGTGGCCATTGGCCAAGGCAACGGGGGCGGTGGGAGCCCCCGGCTCAGCAGTCTCATCAAATCGTAAGCGCAGGGTGTTTCTGATCACCAGCTGTTCCATGATGAAAGAAGCACAAAACCATGGGATGGCATATTCCAGAGTGATCAGGCCCATGAAGTCAAAATCAAACTGGGAATAGTCCCATGGGCAGGCATTGAACTGGCGTAGGATGAGGCCAGTGGTGAACTCCCAGAGGTATGTCCAAAGTGTGTAAATGAAGCAGCGCACTAAAATGTTACACTTGTCTTTGAGATATAGATACATCTTCTCCACAATAAGGATGGAGGTGCCATAGATGAATAGTGCCCACACACTGGTAACACCTGGGAACTTCCAGTTGAAGTTGACCACAAACTCCCAGGCAGCTGTGAACATCACCTCACAGAAATAGCCATGGATGGCATAGAGGTACCATCGGGAGAAAGCGGTCAGAGGTTCTGCCGCAGCCATTCTTCTGCACTCACCTCAGCAGCACTCTGAAATGAAGAGGGAGAGAGAGAGAGAGGAGTCAACAAGGGTGTCACAAGTCCTTATCCCCAGATGGCAACACAGAAACTCATAACACCCACAAAGGATAAATATGAGAAATAAGTGAATTTTAAATTGTCTAATTTTTACCACAGCACATTTTAAGTCCTGGGGAAAAGTGGCACTTTAAAAGACTCCATGACTTAGAATGGGCCTGAACAACGTAAACTGCTCTGCCTGAGAAACAGGATGCCACTGGTATCGCATTGGTGATAAGGACAGAGTTGATAGGTACAGGGTCTTTATCAGGAGTGAGGCTGCCAAAGAATTTACTGGTTGCAAGTCAGTAGAAAAACAGTCATCTCACAAGGAGCACACACCACCTGTTTGCTCTTTTCAAGAAACAGCACTGTCCCTTACTTTTCTGATTCTAATATGGAATAGATTAGATGAACACAACATTGAAAACCTGGGCCTTTCCAGCTGTCACCTACAGTCTCTATACCCAAAATGTTTGCTGTAGTGAAAAACACAGCTGTGATGGGAGCTACAGCAAGGGAACTGGAGGGGTAAATTTCAGAGATTTTACACCTTCAGACACCACATCTTGCACTCGTTATTCAGCTGAACTTTTATTTTGTCTGTTGAAGAACTCATGCACTGTATGGCTAGCCTTTGGAAAATAATTTTCTTATGGTGTCAGACTGCCTGATACCAAGTCAAAAAGCACAGGACAGCCATTGAAATCCATTTAGATTTGGCTTCAGGATGCAAAACACAAAGGAGGAGAAAAAAAAAAAGAACAGCTGAGCCTAGATAGAGGTAGTCATGATAAACAGGAAATGAGAACAAACTCTAATTGTGTATACAGGAAGAAATTTGGTGAAGAGGTTTTGAAAAGGCACAGTTTGCTTATGACTGAACTGTTTCAGCACAATTAGTTTTACTTTTTGTAGAGATTTACAAGTCTGCCATGGTACAGTCACTGACACAAGGTGATTATAAGCATTATTTTACTGAAGCCTTACAGATTTACATTACAGGGTGAATTTGCCCTCTTTCATTCTTAGAAACTTATGCTTTCAAGTTGAGTTTCTCTTGACTCTTTATCAGGTACTATTTAACTTGGTTCTGCACTTGTCAGTTCTGTGGCACAATGTGCTAGGAAAGGACCACATTAACTTTATGTGCAGTCATTCCATGCCATCTGGAAAGAGACTGTTCCCACCCTGCCCTGTAAACACAGTGCCCCTCTGAACAAAGTATTAACATGCAGTATGATTGGAATTCTAATAGGAGATGAAATAAGAGAAACTTCTATAAGGGAAAAAGGAACTATAATAACAAACATAAAGAAGACACGCACAGGGGAATACTGAAAATGGAAAGGACAGAGCTGTATCCACGACCTGTTCACTCCTCTCTTAAATGGACACACAGCCAACATGGCAGTTCATGTGAGGTGGGTGCTTGAACAAAGACCCATTTTCTAATGGCACAATCCATTTTACACAGGACACTGAGACATCATCAGATGTTACAGATATAGGTCAACAGCACAGTGTCAATTTGGAGGTGAAAGACTAAAGAATCGCTGAGGATTCCCTCATGTCTCCTAACAGTTCAGTTCCAAGAGACCCTGCAAAACAGCAGAGGAGGTAGCACATGAGAAATATAGAGGAGGTGTATCTCCACATAGTCCACAAGAAGCTGATGCGTAAGGGCACTGCCAACTCAGGAGAATGAGTTGTCAGTGTAATGTTAGTTGGTTAGTTTTGCCAGCACAGTTGTTAAGCTTAGGAGTTTGAATACTCATATCCTTCCTCCATTCTCACATAATTTCAAGAACAAATCAAAAGTGAGAGGTACAGAACTAAAGGAAAGCAGTAAGAAGGCGCCGTGGTTTAACACCAGCCAGCAACTAAGTGCTACACAACCACTCACTCACTGCTCTGCAATGAGATGGGTAAGAGAATCAGAGGAAAAAAACAGTGAAACTCATGGGTTGAGATAAGAACAGTTTAATAATTCAAACAAAGTAAAATGTAATAATAATGTAATACATAATGTCATTCTCCATAGAAAAAAATTATTGTAAAGATTTCACCAAGCTGCCAAGGGATTGTATAGTTTTTCTCTCTTTTCTATAAGGCTTTCTAACTTTTCTGCTTGTGGTCCTTAGTCCTTGTACTTCCCTCTACAGCCTTACATGAAATGTATTTGAACTGTTAGCTGGGAGCATTCACAGCATGCAGTGCTATCTCTGTAAGATTTTCCTTGTAATTTTGAAAATCTCTTCACAAAGTTGAATCAGATACGCAGAAGGTCCTTCCATCTCAGTCCCTCCCTTCCTATTCCAAGGATCACCTCACCAATTATTTCCATTGCCTTACACCTCCCTACAAAAGCCAAAGACTCACAGAAACATAGTCAACAATCCACATCTGGTTCTACCCTACATTATTTCCTCCATTCAAAGAAGATTTCTCTCTGCTAGTTCTATACCATATACTTAATAAAAATCTATTTATTCTCTGTTTCTTTTTTACTACTTGAAAAATATCTAGTCACTACACTAGAAGTCTAGTAACTGAGTCTAGATCAGGTCTGGGACATCTACAGTAAAAATTAACCAATTGCAAAGACCACTGTTGACTTCTTTTGAATTCCATGGCTTTCACCACAACTGCAAAGAGGCAAACATAAATGCACTGGCACTGTCTCAATATTTGCCTTCTGTCATGTGCCCAGTTGGCCCAATTCCGATGGTAATTACTTCTTACAATATGCTTGAAAGAGTCCTCACAGGCATCCTGGTGATTAAAAGCATCCCAAGAAAGGGCAGATGCCAAACTGTGGCAGTCCAAACATAAAATGGTTCCACTGTGCTAGGCACTAAGCAAATCCACAAATCACAGTTCCTCCTGTAAAATATTTCATCCAAAATAAAACAAAAAGTACATAGTAAGACACAAAAGGGAATGGAGGATACACTTAGGAGGGCTACCACAAGCCACAGCACATCACTGCATAAGCTGGGGACTATACAATTTAATGGTTACAAGTCACTTGAGTATTTACAAAACAATTAAAACTGCAGCTTTTCCAAAGCATCTTATTTCCCAGCCACACCAAACTGTTTGGTGTCTGGGTAGGCAATACTGCATTAGAAGGTCTCACGAGGGATGTAAAGGAGAAAAGTGTAGTCTATTGGGCAGCAATTCATGATAAAAGGATCAAGCTGAAAAGCAGTTGCATGACATTTACTGGGAGAAGCATCCAAACAGAAGGCCAAGACTGGATTCAGTAAGAAATGCAGATTTGTGAAAAGCCTCAAGTAGATAATTGAACTTGGTGACGCAAGACTTTTAATGCAGTGACAGTAATACAGACCAAAAGGCCCTGAATGTATGATCGTTATTCAGTCTCCTGAGGAAAACAAATGACATTTATCACTGAGGTACTTAGAGTGGGATGGGCAACGGCTTCCTGAAAACCAGAAACACAGCTGCCACCTACGCAATTGTCTCAGCAGAGAGCAAACAAGTCAAGAAGACTGCACGTGGATGGCCGTGCTTGCACTGAGGCTTCTCACTGCTGCTTTGGGGAAAATAGGGAGATTCTAAATTCAAAATTTTGAAAATGCTTTCCATCATCAGCAAATTATATTTTAAATAGCTAAAGTAGAAATAGATCCTCTAATCTGATGTTATCAGGAAGCCTGAGCTAGCACAAAATTTTTCCCTCTTTCTCTAGGAGGACCTTCTTTTCTAGCTTGCTCAGAGAAGAAAAAGGAAACTCTATGGAAACCACACACGGGCCATCTCTGAGGAACATGCAGTCCTTCCCCCAGTTGCCCTGTCTGTGTGGATAGCTCTGCTGGCAACAAAGGGGCCAAGAGTCCCCTCCATCTACAGAAAACAAGCACAGGCCTAACAGGGGGAAGTATATGAAGGACTGAGTTCATCCAAGAAATCTGGTTCAGAGGATGAAGTCGCAGAGTGCCTCCTCAGCAGTTCACTGATGACAAAAAGCTGGTAAGAGTGGGTGATCCCCCAGAGTACTGTGCAGCCCTTCAAAAGGACCTTGACAGGTTCAAGAGATAGGCAGAGTACTGTCTGAAATTCAACAAAGGCAAATGCAGGGTCCTGCACCTGAAGAAGAATAACCCCATGCAAGGACAAGAAGCAACAGACAAACTGATGCACAGGAAGTTCCACCTGAACATGAAGAAGAACGTTACTGTTTGAGTGACTGTGCACAGGAAGAGATTGCCCAGAGAAGTTGTGGAGTCTTCCTCACTAGAGACACTCAACATGTCTGGACACCATCCTGTGCAATGTGCTCTAGGATGACCCTGCTTGAGCAGCAAGGTTGGACCAGATGACCCACTGTGGTCCCTTCCAACCTTACCCACTCTGTGATTCTGTGATCAGGGCAGGAGTTTGACTTATGGAGGTAAGAAAATAATACTGTAACAGCATCAAGATTACATTTTATATTTTAGAATTTCAACTCTGAAATAGATATTAACAATCCCCTAGGTTGAGGTAAGATACAGATAAGCCTGATGCACCAGACCAAGCAAGGAGAAAGGACTAACATTCCAGACTGCCCCACTTCACATGTTAGACCCTTCTGTGCAAGGGGAAGCACCTCCATACTCACATTTGGGTTTGCAGGTGATGCAGCCCAGGCAGGCAAGAGGGAAGTGATTCAAAAATGGGCTGATGGTAGACCAAGAAATAACGGCAGATTTGTCTCACACAAGCACTGCAGGGGAGACATCAGTGGATGTTGTATTCATGCCTGATTAAATTCTTGAGCGATGCCTGGCTCATTTTTTCCCAAGCTCTCCTTTGCAGCGGCTTTCTGCCCATTTCCCTGCTACCAAGCCAAACTGCTTAAAAAAGTCTCTCACAGATTGTCTTTATTCCCTCTAATCCAGCAGAACTATTTAGACTCACAGCCTCTGGATGGGTGTAATGAGACTCATCAAGAAACTCTG